ATACCCACACAATTCTCCACAACAACTGATTTTTTTCTGCTACGCTGCTTCGCTTCTTCTTCTTGTTTATTACTGGTGGTTGGCTTTGGTTGCAGTACCGCCACCTTCTGCTCTGGAGTGTACACGCTTCGACTATGAAAAAAAGGAGCAGCGCATGAACCGACGCAACACACGCGAACCGAACCGAGACAGTCGAACCGAACGGCTCGGACGGTTTTCATAAACCGTTCCATCCCTATAGCGTATCAATCTCAAATCAAGATCTGAAAGACTTTTTGTCCAGATCTAAGGTTATCAGACTTGATAAGATGGAAAATTTTCCTAAATCTAAACTGATGGAATTTATTTCAAGTTTGTTATAACAGTTGAAAAAAAATCAACACAGTGATCTGAGTGGACTACATGGAAGTTGGTTGAACTGAATCAGAGGCAGCTGATTACCAAAGTTATTACGTTAACTTATTAACCTGAAGCCCTTTGCATATCTACCTGCTTCTCATCTGAATATTTGTGTAGGGTAGTCTTGTTGTTGGGGGGAAAAAGCAAAAAATTCTATAAAGAATAATATTTCTCTGCATTTCAAACCATTAGGAGGAATCAGTTTCACAGGAACATGTTAGCTTTGCCTTCTCTGTGCTGCTAGGGAATCTTTATTCTGCTATAAGTATGCACAGGATCAAGAGGAGGTATAATTAAGCAAATCTCCCACTAACTCATTTCCGCCTGTGCAGCCCGGATTATGGCTGCCTGCTTGTTACCATGGTGAGAGAGACCATGTTTCTTCATCATTCTGACAGAAACAGTGATGATGCTGAGGGTTTCAGCTCCAAGTGACACTGAAGTGAGACATGAGAGTGCAAAGTGAACTTATTTCCCCATCGAAAATTATGCAACAAGACGCATCTGCTCTCTCATACTTCAGGGGAAATTGGCCTTACATACCTGGCACTTATATGCACCCTGGAGGATTTAAGGGCGTGAAAACAGCTTTAAATATAGCTGTGAACAAAATATAAAAAAGTTAAGGATTTAGGAGTGCTCTCAAATGTAATCACATTAGGAAGCAGCCTGGGATTCAATAAGATCTATAATTATTTTTGCACCGTCCACAAGTTATCACACAGCAGATTCTACAAACTCAATTAAACACAAAATGAGGAAGAAGCCAAAAGCTGAATGTTGACAAACTAAGTGATCCATTGTAGCTTCTATGGATTTCCCTGGGAAAGCAACAATATTTACTTCATAAACACATCATCACTGTTAGCACCTCCATAAAAACGGAGCTATGGCTATTTGCTGCTCTAAAGCAAACGCTGTAAAGCTCGATGCCAGGAAGAAAAGACATCAGCAATACATAAGAGAAACAACTTTTTACTGCCCTTCAATACAGAAGGAGTTATAATCTTATTTTTAAACAATCCAAAGTAAAAAATTATGCAGGGGAAGATTATTCACAACTTAAAAAACATTTATAGTTGTCAAATGTTGTTGTAAAATAACCTCCCCCCTCAGTGGCGGCCGGCCCATAGGGGGCGCTGGGGCACCGCCCTCCCTGATAAGAAGAGAGAAACGTAAAATATATTTTTAGAAATTAACTCATGAATGTCAGTTTTACTCTCTAGACTGTGTACCTATAAGCAAAACAAATTATATAAACTACATTTCCCTATCTACTGTCATTCATTTGTGGATTTCCACAGACAGACTCCTACCGTCTCTGTCTTGGGGCGCTGATCAGACTGCCCCACATGTGCAGAGAATCTGCCAATCATGTACTATTGCTAGGTCAATTTAATAATTTAATGGCCAACCAGCGTCTCAGAATTTGATGGTCTTGGGGCTCTGAAAATACTGCACTTTAACAGGCTTCTGCACCCAAGCGCAGGTGCAGACAATTAGAGGGACAATGGCGAACGTAACGAGTGAGATGCAGCTTCCACCAAATTCGGTGAGATCCTTATTTATCTACCCGTTTGCCAGAAGAACATCCCTGTTGTAGGATATTCATCTCATGGTTATTGTGACTGTGACGAATCCACCACGTCACTTAAAAAAACCTCTAACTTTGCACGCCACACACACATTCCTGTTATACTGTGCTTGTGAGGACCAATACACTCGCGCTGAGCCCAGTAGCTCCATTAACTTAAAGCACACAAGCTGTTCCTGGTTACCTGCTGGCGTATTGAGGGTGCACACTTAATATTTCAGTGGGGTTAGCCGTGTGTGTGTGGGTATGTGGGGGTGTGGGTGTGTACGTGTTTATGCTACGGGGACTTGTCATCTTCAGTCTGGCTGCGTCTTTGCTGGGTTCAAACCCGGTTTGGTGTAATTGAATAAGTCAATGAATCTGTGTAAAGGAATTAAGTTGTAAAAATTATTTGTTTTTGTACATCAATTGATTGTGGAGGTAATATATGGACAAAACTGATTTATGAGAAGAAATCAGAAATAAGAGAGCCTGAGGGGCTTAAACTATTTAATGAGGGCTGTGGGAAGAAGAGCGGCCATTTTTGTTTTCTGTTTCTTTGTTACATTGCTGGTAACTGGAGGGAGGCTGAGGCCCAGAGTATCTTGTACATGTTTAGTTTCTTTTGCACCCTGTTTTGAGTTTTTGAGCTCAATAAATCACCAACACCGGTAACCCGACTGAGACTGGATTCTTGGAGGCCAAAGAACCCCGTCACAGTGACCCAAATCATCACTGTTACTGTTATTATATAGTAAATTAAATCATTACTGTTAAATTGTATTTCATTTCCAATTGTTTGTTTGAATTCTTATTTTGGATTAGTTGGAGACATACACTAGGCTATATCAGCCCCACCAAAAATATTTTTCACCAGCCGCCACCGACCCCCCGCCTTAAGAGGATGTAATGTTTAGAAAAAGACAAAAACTAAGAGTTTTATCTTAGCATTCTATATATTTGAGAACATTTGGCAGCATAGAAAAGCTTTTAAAAACTACTTCTCAGAGAACCACAAAACTGGGAAAAAGGTAATTTGATGAGATGTGATCCTTCTGTCATCATGCAGAACAGCTTATTTTGAGAAAACTACACAAAGCATATCAGCACAAAGACTTCAGACATAATCTAGGTTTATTTGTACCAAAGGCACCTTGCACTCAATAAACCGTGACCTTCTCTCTCTCTGCAAAAACGAAATAAAACTAAGTAATGTATTCTTAAACTAAGTGTATTGCCACTTGACAATCTACAAATTAAATGAGTATTCACCCGCCTAAGATAATTACTTAAAAAAAGACAACAGAAGATTATTTTTTTACATATTTCAAACATAAATCAAGTTATTCCTTTGGAAAAGTATCTCACCTATCAGCTCAAATTGAGGGAATGTACAATTATTTTAAGAAATAAGGACTTATATTTTAGTTTCTGCAGCTCTGTTTGCCAAATGATTCTAGACTCAAGTGTGAGTCCATCAATCCTACAGATGAGCAGCTCAGTGACATCAACGCCTGTTTCGAAGTGGTTCCTTTAGTTTTTAAAAGTAGATTGGGTGTCAGATGTTTAACAGATTCCTATTCTGTAGAAACAAAAAAATTGAGTCAGTGAGGCAGCCACCCTGTCTAATTTTAAAACTTTCTTTTTTGATAAAGCTAATAGAGTGGCTCAGGCTATCCTAGGTATCTCTGTAGATATGCTGCTATAGGCTCAGACTGCTGGAGGACAATCGGTCTACTTTCCCTCATGTTGCGTTATTATTTAGTTCAGCTTTTAACTTTAAGTTCTCTCTATCTTTCATCTTCATAGTTACTTCATCCAGCCTTGCATCCTTTTGGCAGCCAATCAGCAACCAAACATCATCACCTTCAATTATAAATTAGGCCATTTCCTTAGTGTTTAGCCTTGTCCCTCTACTAGCCATTGGCTCAGCTTTTACTGTAACTTACTATATGCTCTCTCATCCTTTTTGACACATGAACTAACTCAGACCTCACCTGCTTAGCTGTGTTTCACTCCTAAACAAAACAATCTATGGAGCTTTTTTACCATTACATTCTCTAATATGGAAATTATTAATAGATCAGTGTGTCTGGGATCCTTTTGTGTGTCTACTTCTATCGTTTTGAAACCCCCAGTTGGCAGAAGGCCACTCACACAGAGTCTGAATTCTGCTGGTTTCTTCCTGTTAAAAAGGAGTTTTCCTCTCCCCTGTCACTGCATACATGCTTGGTGTGAGGGATTGCTGTAGATTTAATGGCACAATGCAATGAATGTCTACTCATCCAGGAGAAACGAATCCTGCAAAGTCAATGACTGGATGCAACCAGCTGGGTTTTCTAAGATAAACCAATATGACTGGATCATCGGATTGAATTGTCTGTAAATTATGAAATGAGGACTACATAAAGAAACTGAATGAAAACAGAGCTGGATGGGATGTGAAAGATAAAGACTGAGGTTCTAGGAATGGCCCATGTAAAGTTCTGATCTATATAGTCTGATTAACATGTGGTGGGACCTTAGGATAGTTGCGCAGTATAAAAATAAAGCATGAATTTCAATGTAAAGCAATGTGAAACATAAGCTTGGGTTGACATTAGTTTTTCCACACAGCCTCTTTCTTTAAAATCCCACTGAGTCATTTTTACTGTGTGTTTTTGTTATACTTAATTTAACTCATTTTAAAAGCTGATTAATACCAAATGTGTTTCATTACTAGATATGTACATCTGAAAAACCGAGACATGTTTTTCCTTTTTTTCCCTCTGATTTTATGGTAGTTTTGTAGCCTAGATGTCTTCAACAAGAAGTTGATATTTTCTGTCAGAATCCTTTTAGTTTCTATTATTTACAAACATAATTCATCAATCTGACATTCAGAAACTAAGTAAAGTAGATTTCTCCAAACAGCTGAGAGAAAAGGCAAAAAGAAAAAAAAGTTTCATGCATGAATTTGTCAGTAAAGCAGTGGCCAAACACATCAAAAAGATCCACACTACTGTGCGTCCATTGCTCACTCACTGACCTGTCTTGGTCGGCACTGCGGAAGCGGGGGAGGATCATTTGGCGGAAACTGCTTGTTCGGTCCAGTTTCGGCTGACTCTTGGCCCTCTTGATGGAGCCCTTCAACCTCTTACTGAGGAAACTCTGGAAGAGGGGAGGAGGGTGATGCGACCAGGGGACAAACAGATGGAGAGGGAGAGGGAGGACAGTGTGGCGGCGCAAAGGTGTTGGAACAGACGAGTGATTGAGAGGTGAGGAACAGAACGCAGGGTGGGTTTGATTTAATCAATGAAAGAACACAGGGTCAGGGTAGTTTGTGTCAGATGTTAGACAAACGAAAAAAAAATGGGACACATGAGGAGGGAGAGCACACAGTAAGTTTATTAATACAAGAAGTCATACTGCTGCACATGTCCACTTACTAAAGACATGCAATGCCACAAGAGATCCTATGGTGGGCAGCAGTGTACCACAAAGATTTATGACGGTACAGTTTGTCCTGCATGAGTTTTCTTACATATTAAACCACATACATGCACTGCAAAAACGATCTAAAAATGAGTAAAAATGGATCAAATCCTTAATTTATCCTTAATTTGAGCAGGTAAAATAGACGATACCATAATTGTCTCACTTATCTCCTTAGTTCAAGAAAAAATTCACTTATTTTAAGAATAAAATCACTTTTTGAGATTTGAAATTTTTGCAGTGCAAAATAAGCAGCCACAGCATTTAGTCTTTAAAGCATGGCTCTACACACTACTACAGAATGACAGGATTTTTTTTTTTACCATTAAGATCCGTAGAAAAACTCTAAGCATCAAACACCATTCAGAATTTAAAATGCTTCCGTTTTTGTATTTTCCGTTTTGGGATTAAATTGTTTTTAAAAAAATCCTTTGTGTTTTATTTTTAATCAGAACTTGCCATTTAAATTCAATATTAAACAGGTTTGTAACATTTTCTTCTCTCATCGCAGAAATTAGAAATTTCATGTTCAGGGGTGATTCTGAGAAACTAGTTGTTACGGCAACTCTTGCATTAAAACTGTTTCCCAAAAAGTCATAAATTGCCAGAGTTGTCCAAGGAGGAGGTTTTTCGACTCACAAAACTAAAAGCACTCATGGAGAATTGTATTGTCTCAAAAAGGGGTGTTTTCTTTACTTATAAGAAATAACTGAAATATTCTCAGATTTGACTTACAAAAAATTCAAATATAAACGTTAAGTTAACAAACAATCAGGTCCACCTCATCAGCTGCTTCTACCTGTTAATCTCAGCAGGAGACGGACTGACAAGGAGGAGGGTAAAACCAAAACCAATACATAAATAAACAAGAGCTGTACCATTCACACAACCTTAGATCTTTAACATTAATAATTTAGCAAATAATAAATTTATCAATGTAATTCTTAAAAGGCTCCAAAACTAGCCCATGCATTTGTTACTTCAAGGCTGGACTATTGTAATTCTTTACTATCAGGAAGTCCACAAACTGTAGTTAAAATCCTTCAGCTGATCCAAAATGCTAAGACAAGAGTATCCTGGCTGCTCTTCATTTGCTTGTTGTTAAATCCAGAATAGAATTTAAAATCCTCCTTCTCACATATAAAGCCTTAAATGGCCAAGCTCCATCTGATATCAGAGATCTGATTGTTCCTTAAGTTCTGCAGGTTTACTGGTTGTTCCTAGATTTTCTAAAAATGGGAGGCAGATCTTTTAGTTATCAGGCTCCTCTCCTGTGGAACCAACTACCAGTTTTAGTCCGTGAGGCAGACACCCTGTCTACTTTTAAGGCTAGGCTTAAAACTTTCCTTTTTGATAAAGCTTCTAGTTAGAGTGGCTCAGGTTATCCTGAGCTATCTCTATAGTTATGCTGCTATATGTTGGGATCTGGAGATCTGCCACCTTTCTCCAGCAGAGGGCGTCCCGGGTCTCCTGAGCTGAGCCACCATCACACCTGCGGCTGATCAGCTCATCAAGGAGACCAGCTTATAAGCAGCGGCTGAACTTCTCTTTGGTGCCAGAGTGTTAGACCAGTTATGGTTAGAAAGCCTGAGCCAACCTGCATGTCTGAATCTCTGACTGCTCTGAAGAGTAATCTGATTCTAACCAGTCCTTGTTCTCTCTGCTTCCTAGGAAGACCTGACCCTGAAGATCTACAGTCTGAATCTGCCTGCCTGTTCTCAAAGAGAGAACTCAAGGTCTGAACCTCACTAGTCTGAAGCCAAGCGCTGCCGCTGCTAAACCCCTCAGCTGATCCCTCAGTCTCTGGACTCTTCTGGTTCCCTCCCTCTACCGCTCAGTCTGAACCACATCAGGTACCGATCAGTTCCTAGCTAAGTCAAGACTCTCCTGCTTTTCCTAGCTAACCAAACTGTCCCTCTCTACAGAGAAACCTGTGATACCGGTCCCGGACCCGTTCCAGCATCAGTCCAGAATAACTTTATTGTGTTTTTGCCTCAATAAACAGTTGAAACTTTTACTCAGTCTCCGTGGTGTTCTGCATGTGGGTTAAATCAGTTAGACCCGTCATGACACTATAGGCTTAGACTGCTGGAGGACATAGGGACAACTATCTCTATTCACACACTCTGCCATATCTGTTAGTTCAACCTCTAGTCTTACAAGTATGTTCTTTCTGCTTACCTTTTTATAGTAGCTTCATCTTATCTGGTCCTTTTTGGCTGTGAAATCATTCTGGGGGGAAATATTACCTGAGCTGCTGCCATCAACAACAATGTTTATAGATAATAGTCAGGCTTGTTTTTCAGTGTTTAACTTTGCTTCTCTCCTAGACATAGCTATGGGGTCAGCTTTTAATGTGACTAACTGTATGTGTTCCCTTTAATCTATTTTGGCATAAAAAACTGGCTCATAGCTTCTCTTCTTAGCTGCTTCTTTCCTAAACGGAGCCTTTTATCTAAGTTCACCAAATAAGTAAAGATAATTCATGGATAAATTGTTTATTTGTTAGAGAATGTGAGTGATCAAACAGCTTCATGGAGGCCAAATGTGATACCTGAATGCACCATCCACATAGTCAACCATGGTGTAGCTACTCAGAAAACATTTTAGAGGAGATAATGTGGCAAAGTTTCCCAAACAACCCTAAACATAAAGCCACTTGTTCAAAATCCAATGTGGCATAAGCTGAGTCTGAGCTTTTTTGCAACAGAAACAAACAAAAAGTTTAGTCTCCAGACTTTTTTTAAGCTTGTTGAGACATACAAAAATATGGTGCTTCGATTGCAGAGACAGGTAGCAGTGACTGGGAGAGGCTCAACAGTAATACACGCCACACAGTTCTGATTTTAAAATGAAAATGGAAAATGTTAGGTTTATTCAATGATGATTATATAATTAATGTGTGCTTATAAAACATTTTTGCAAGGGGATCCTCCACTCCTGTCTCATGATCCAGTCAGGAGACCATCCTGCCTTGTCATTCTGATGGAGTTATTTCATGAACTGATCAATTGTTCTGTCAGAACAATACTCTGTTTTTAACCAGGTGTCATGTTATGTTAATAAACGCTCTGCAGAGGAGGTGGGAGACAGTGTGTTTGGGTCTGGGGTTCAACTGTCTCTCCTTCCTGCAGGAATAATATCGATAAGTCTGTATTTCAGTTCTTCTTAAGAAAATGAACCCGACAGAAAATAATCCATGTTTCATCAGTTCCACCTCATGAAATATCAAAGAAAATTAGTAGCAGTTGTGACAAAATCTTAAAAAGGACAAGAGGTAGTAGCATCTCGGCAAAGCTCTGTGTATGGGTTTGTGATTTTCCTAATATGATACTTTGGGAATGTTTTTATCATAAAAATAATATCATAATAAAATAATCCAGTTTTGATTTTTTTTCAACCACACTGCTAAAGAGGTACAGCATCAAAACAGAAACAATTATTAGAGAAAAAAAGAAAAGATCGGCATTCTGAAAAAGTTATGTGTTTGTTACTGACAGTCAGGTTTAGGAGCTGGCTGGTCTCCAGAGTAATATTACATTGATATGTACTAATAGAAGAATGAAGAAGATCACCAATGTTTTAAGAGATTTTTATTTATTTATTTCTGGCCTGCTTTGTAATGTCTATTCGGTCACACTTTCTGATAGTTATGTCCTCTTTGCTGCTTTAAAAGACCTTTAATGACTTCAATGATGCATCTTATATAGGCCTCTACTTGCTCCCAGGTCATTTTCATCCACTTGTGGCTCCACAAGGATCCTCATAATCAGAGATGGGAAGTAAAGAAGTACAAATACTTCGTTACTGTACTCAAGTAGATTTTTCTGATATTTTTACTTTACTTATTTTTATGGCAACTTTTTACTTCTACTCCTTACATTTTTACACAAATATCTGTACTTTCTACTCCTTACATTTTAAAAAATTGGCTCGTTACTTTAGTTTTGAATCATTTCAATGGAGTTACCGTTATTATTTTTCACGTCATCAATACCAAATTCAATCTAATTGGATGGGAATCTACGTTGCATTTGACGCACCACTACAAGATGAATCGACAGATTCGGCGGTATTCATTGGCGGCAAATCATTGCAGCTTGGTGGCGGTGGCGTTAGCATAGTAGCATGGACGACGAGATGATTGAAAATGAACACAACGGAGATCTAGTCCTATTGGCAGACATCCATTTAAAATGTAGGCAACGGCATGAAAAAAGTGGTTTCTACTTTTACTTTTATACTTTAAGTAAATTTACAAGCCTGTACTTTGTTACTTTTACTTGAGTAAAGAAGTTTAATCAGTACTTCCACTTTTACCAGAGTATCTTTTAACACAAGTATCTGTACTTTTACTCAAGTAAGGAAAGTGAGTACTTTTGCCATCTCTGCTCATAATGTCAAGTATTAAACACTAAGAAATTGAGATGCAAAACAGGGGGTGGGGGGCTGTACAGGCCATTATTTGAACACATTTTCATGAATATATATATATATATCTATATATATACATTCAGGAGGTAAAAGAGACATTTTGCCAATAGAAAAAGACAATTTACATTTAAGAAAGCACAATTGGATTGTCTTATTCCACGTGTATGTTATATATTCAATCTAATGGAATAAGAAAAGAATACTCATTCCATTGGCAAACTATCTCATTTACCTACTCAAAT